ACTAAAAAGAAACAAATAGACAGCGCATGAGCAACCCAAAGCATGTGTGTGGGGGAGAGGGGGGTGGGGGGGGGCAAACTAGCTAATGCCAAAAGGCGAAACAATTAAAACTAGGTTTGGTGACAGGTGAGGCCCTGCTAGATGTCAAGCAGCGTGAGAGGCTCTATACGTTGGCGCGAGGGGATAACGTGGCCACTGAAAGTTGTGGGGGGGGGGTTGGCCTCTCGGTGACAGGTAAACATAAGATAGAATGGGAGTGACAGGTGAGGCCCTCACTATGCCACAATGCAAGGCGACTAACTATGATTTGGCCCGAGGGGAGTGGTACCTCCGAGTATGAAGACGTTGGCCTCGCGGGACCACTAACCTAAGGCAAAGAAGCCAGGGGAATTACAACTAGTGGACACCTAGGACCCTGACAGCCAGCCACAGCTAACTAAGAGGGGAGGGACGGTAGCGTGAGAGAGGACGGATATGATGAATGCGCATTGAAAAATATGAGGGTGAACAAGGAAGTACCGCGGGGCCGACCATAACTGAAATGCAGAGTAAGCACGTCAGATTCCAGGCTGTATGGAGCATGCCCGGCACTAGGTAAGAGAATATGTGCTGGCGTAAAGCCCGGGGGGACACGAGGCCCAGTGTGAGCGTGAGAGTGAGAGCGTGTGTGAGAGTGAGAGCGTGTGTGAGAGTGAGAGCGTGTGTGAGAGTGCTGGCATACTAGCTAAGCCAAAAAGGCGAAACAATTAAGACTGGGTTTGGTGACAGGTGATGCCCTGCTAAATGCCAAGCGGCGTGAGAGGCTCTATCTATGCATTGGCGCGAGGGGGTAACGTGGCCACCGAACGTTGTGGCGGGGTGTCGGCCTCTCTGTGACAGTTAAACATAAGATAGAATGGGAGTGACAGGTGAGGCCCTCTCTATGCCACTATGCGAGGCGACTAACTATGAGTTGGCCCGAGGGGCGTAGTACCTCCGAGTATGAGGATGGGTGTTGGCCTCACGGGACCACTAACCTAAGGCGAAGAAGCCAGGGGGAATTACCACTAGCGGACACCTAGGACCCTGACAGCCAGCCACAGCTAACCAAGAGGGGAGGGAAGGTAGCGTGAGAGAGTATGAATATGATGAATGCGAGGGTGAACAAGGAAGTACCGCAGGGCTGACCATAACTGAAATGCAGAGTAAGCACGTCAGATTCCAGGTGGTCAGGCTGTATGGAGCATGCCCGGCACTAGGTAAGAGAATTTGTGCTGGCGTAAAGCCCGGGGGTACACGAGGCCCAGTGTGAGCGTGTGAGTGAGAGCGTGTGTGTGAGTGCTGGCATACTAGCTAAAGCCAAAAAGGCGAAACAATTAAGACTGGGTTTGGTGACAGGTGAGGCCCTGCTAAATGCCAAGCGGCGTGAGAGGCTCTATCTATGCGTTGGCGCGAGGGGGTAAACGTGGCCACCGAACGTTGTGGCGGGGTGTTGGCCTCTCGGTGACAGTTAAACATAAGATAGAATGGGAGTGACAGGTGAGGCCCTTTCTATGCCACAATGCGAGGCGACTAACTATGAGTTGGCCCGAGGGGCGTAGTACCTCCGAGTATGAGGATGGGTGTTGGCCTCGCGGGACCACTAACCTAAGGCGAAGAAGCCAGGGGAATTACAGCTAGTGGACACCTAGGGCCCTGCCGGCCAGCAACAGCTAACTAAGAGGGGAGGGGAGGGAGTGTGAGAGATTATGTACCTGAGGAACGCGGAACGAAAACGTGGGGGGCTGGGGGGATTCAGGAAAATAAACGGAGCACGAGGAGTAAAGATGGGCAAACTTGGCCCGGCCAAACAGGGAAACGAAAAAAAAAAAAAGAAGAACGTGGGTTATTTTTTAATATTTTCAGAATGTAATAGATTTTTTATTTTTTTATATATATGGCTATGAGTCTGTCAGCTTATATTCAAATGCAAAGGGGGTAGAGCACCCCATGAAGCATTGGCATGATACAGCAGATGAGCAAGCTAAAGTAACAGGGGTCTGACCCGTACTGCACGAAGTGCCTTATGTAGGCAATACAAGCAGTCGAACCCACCAACTCCAGAACAACGTGTGAGAAACCAAAGGCTGACATGCACGCTCAAGATACGTGAAATAAGAAAAAATATATAAAATATAAAATGTAAAATATATCATATACATTACATATTGTGCACAATGAGTGGGCATAACAGAGTCAAAGTTGCATTGGAAGATATATACTTGGGTATTTGCATTGTTCTTCAATGGTGATGGTGATCTGGCACGATCTGACCACAATATAAGGCCAATATGTGCAGACTGAGGTTTAGGGATAAGTGATGAGTGAGTAAAAAAAAAACCTATTGATTCTAGTGTAAGAGTTGTGTACATGAGAGTGAACGGTTTAATCGACCTCAGTCTGGTGTAGCTCTCGCCACACATCTAGAAAATCATGTTTCAAAATGGTATCGCAAAGAGAGGTGGTTATTGCTTCATGCCTTTTTGAAGTGGTGTCAAGTGAGCAGTCCAACAGAAAATTAGTACACTAGATTAGGTGTTTTTAATAAAACTAACAAAATCGGTCAACACTAAAGCAGCTGTTTAGTAGATAAGGGAGTGAGCTAGATTTTCATTTGTACTGTACTTATTGGCCCCCCAGCAGCACCCCATTTAAGCATGATCAGGTGAGTGCAGCCAACCCCTTCTTTTCTCATAATATATATATATATATATATATATATATAAAATATACATATATAATATATATATTAATTAAACAAACGATTGCCGGCAATCCTGGACTTCCAACATCAAAATACTTTATTGTCAAGTGGACGTTTCAGTCCCTAATCTGGGATTTTCATCAGGACATACAAAGTAACATCTTGTATACAGACTAAAAAAACAAGGTATTGATTACTCACCACTTTCAGCTGTTCTGCCCAATGGGACGGCCAACCAGTGTCTGAAATGTTTAACCCCTTAACGACGAGTGACGGACAAGGTCCGTCACTCAGGGGATTGCCATAACGACGAGTGACGGACCTCGTCCGTCACCCGTTAAAATTAACCCCGGATCGCCTGCTATTGCGGCTATTGCTGTATTAGAGGCAGACCGGGAGCACCCGATAGTGCTGCCCAGTATACTTAGTATACTTACCTTCCACCTCCTTGCACTTCCTGGTTCTGTGTGAAGTGCAGGGAGATGGATCAGTGATGATCCTGCCCCCTGTTAAAAAAATAAATAAAGTTTATTTAAAATCCCCCCCCCTTTACTCATTTTAATTAAAAATTAACCCCTTCCCTGCCAATTGATCATTGACTACAGTGATAAATTGGCAGGGATTGCATTTTACTGTCATCTGATTTTATTTTTTTATTTTTTTTTTAAAGAATTAACCCTCAGGGGTTAAATTTATTTAATTAATTAATTTAAATATTTTAAAATAATTATATGGTTAGCTAGCTGGGGTGGGTGGAAGTTAGTGGGGAATTGGGGGATTTGGTGTCAGGCTAACTAGGGGTTAACGTTAAAAAAGTTTTAAAACAAACTTTAAAAAGTTAAAAATTAAGCTAAAAAAAAGTTGTAATAATGTGACATGTCATGATTCCCTTTTATTCCAGAAGTTTGGTCCTTAAGGGGTTAAGTAAAAAATAAAAAAAAATAAACACTCCTTTACCCAGTCCAACTAAAAATTAACCCCTTCCCTGCCAGTCGATCACTGCCTACAGTGATCAAAATTCAGATCACACTATTATACTGTGATCTATTTATTTTTTTAACCCCTGAGGATTAACTTATTTATTTTTTAACCCTCAGGGGTTCAATTTATTTAAGTAATTGATTTAAATATTTTATAATTATATATTTTGCTAGCTGGGGTGGGTGGGAGTTATGGGAAAATGGGGAATTTACTGTTAGTGCTGCTTACTGCTAGTTAGGGGTTAACGGTAAAAAACAAAAAAGCTTAGAAAAATGTTAAATCTGTAAAAAAAAGTTTTAAGAAAGTTTAGGAAAGTTTAAAAAAATTAATAAGAAAAACAAAAGTTTAAAAACTTGTTTTTAAAAGTAAAAAAAGTTTCAAAAAGTAAAAAAATACATTTAAAAACGCTCATTACCACTACACCTGGAAAAAAACTAGAGGAAAAATTATCCTACGCTAAGGTTCAAAATATGCCTTTTGAATTACCCCAGGGTGTATTCTTTAATAAATAGTATGTGTTTGTGGGGAAGTTTCAATAACCAACCGTGTAAACTAATCCAAAGTGGAACATGGACACAGCATAAAACTTCAGAGTTAGAAAAAAAACTGAATGGCTGCGTCTCAAATGCGCCCCTTCAACATCCACATATACCTGGTAAAGGTACATACGGTGGTATTGATGTACTTAGATGACAAAGCTGAGCAACATATGAAGTATTATACAGTCATAGCACACATAAGGTTTGCAAAATATACTGTGCAAACCAGTGGCGTACACACAACTCATGGGGCCCCGGTTTGAAAACTGATCCGTGACCCCCCCGCGCTTACTCTGCGCGGGCTGGGGCCGCAACACATGACGGTGGGTCACCTGCAGATAAACATACACTTAAAGGACCACTACAGACACCCAGATCACATCAGCTCAATGAAGTGGTTTGGGTGCCAGGTCCCTCTAGTTTTAACCCTGCAGCTGAAAACATAGCAGTTTCAGAGAAACTGAGGGTTAATCCAGCCTCTAGTGGCTGTCTCATTGACAGCTGCTAGAGGAGCTTCTGCGATTCTCACTGTGTGAATCACAGTGAGAAGACGCTGAATGTCCATAGGAAAGCATTCGGAGCTGAGAGGCGGATCGGGGCGGAGAGATCCCCCGCACCAAGGGAGTCGGGTGCTGGAGAAAGGTAAGTGCTTAAGACACACACATACTCTCACAAACAGACGCATACACACTAGCTGACACACAAACACTCTCACGAACAGAGGCATACACACTAGCTAACAGACACACATTTACTGACAGACACACTCAGTGACAGACATACATTCACACTCACTGACAGAGAGACACATACACACTCACTAACAGACGCACACAAACTAACACACTCAGTAACAGACACACACAGTAACACACTCACTGACACACTCTTACACAAACACACATACAAACACACTAACACACACACACACACACACACACTCACACTTTTTTTTAAATGTAATCCCCCAGCCTCCTTATCTGTGGGAGAGCTGAGGGGATTCCCTGGGGTTCAGTGATGCTGCTGGGTTCCTGGGCGGCTGGTCCCCGGGCGGGCGCGCGAGGGAGCACTCGTCTCTGTGTGCCCCCCTCTTCAGCTGCTGGGTGGTGCTGCTGGGTTCCTGGGTGGCCGGGAAGATGACGTCCGGCTCTGGTATCAGTGCGGTGAGCAAGGGAGCTGAAGAGGGGGCACACAGGGGAGAGTGCTCCCTCGAGCACCCACCAGCCAGCCCGCCCGTTGACCGGCCACACAGGGGACCCCCCCAGGAGAAGAGGCTGGCCACAGTGGCATACATACCGGGTATGTACGCCACTGGTGCAAACTCACTTTGTGTGTCAAAAAGGCCGAAAAATACTTATTACCACTACACTTGGTACAAGCTAGCGGAAAAATGATCCCACGCTAAGGTTCAAAATATGCCTTTTGAAATACCCTAGGATGTTTTCTTTAAGAATTGGTATGGCTTTATGGGGTATTTGGATTATATAGCCTGGTAAAATACTCTATAATGGGACAGGGGCACAGCGTAAAAATGTAAAGTTTGAAAAAAAAAATTGGTATGGCTGTGTCCCAAATGTGCCCCTCCGATGTCCACATATACCTGGCAAAGGTACATACGGGGGTATTGCTGTACTCAGCCGACATAGCTGAGCAACATATGAAGTATTATACACTGGTAGCAAAATATACTGTGCAAACTCACTGTGTGTGTCAAAAAAGGCAGAAAAAAACGTATTACACTTGGTACAAGCTAGCGGAAAAATGAACCCACGCTAAGTTTCAAAATATACCTTTTGAAATACCCTGGGGTGTCTACTTTTGGGGGGTTTTAACATAGTGGCACATATGAAATATACAAAATTCCCAGCAAAAATGCAATCCATATGTAAAAAACGCACAATTATTTTGTATCACATACTTTAGCATATATTGGTAAAAGAATGGGGGCATGTTAAGGCACAATATACACCTTATGAGATACCCTGGAGTGTCTACTTTTACAAATGGTAGGCCTTTGTGGGGTTTTTTTTTGAACAGTACAATACCCCAAATGAAAGAATGTGCTCATTAAATCCGTCTCTCAAAATTCTACTGTGAATACTGAAAATGACAGGTCTCCTAAATGACAGTGTAGCTTCACGAAAGAGTGCCAAAGACATACAATGGGGGTGTCATTTTACTCAGCAGATGTTACTGAACACAAAATAAAACTTTGTACAGGAATAGCACACACCAACATTACAAAATACACATGAGAAGTTCTTTGTTATAAGTTTGTTTGCCAAAAACCAAAAAAAAACACAATTTTACTCCAATATTTAGCAGAGGTTGGCAGTGAAATGGCTACGTAAAAAGTGTCAAAACAACCTTAGGACAATAGCCTTTGATGTCTTCTTTATATAAATATATACTTTTGTGTGGCAATTTTGTTTCTTTTATGGCTATTAAGCTTACAAGACAAACATACCAAATTCTAAAATCACTCCACATTAAAAGATGTTCATTTTTTTTTTTGCATATTTCTGTATTTTTTTATAATAATTAAGCATTTACATATATGTGTGTGTGTGTGTGTTACATCAAATTAAGCCCTTTCTGTCCTTTAAAAACGATATATGATATGAGTCAGTGCAATAAATTAGTAAAATGCAAATTGCAGTTGAACGCAAACAGCAAAAAATGAAAAAAATGCTGTTGTCATTAAATGAACACTATAGTCACATAAATTACTTTAGCTAAATAAAGCAGTTTTAGTGTATAGATCATTCCCCTGCAATTTCACTGCTCAATTCACTGTCATTTTGGAGTTAAATCACTTTGTTTCTGTTTATGCAGCCTTGCCACACCTTCCCTGGCTATGATTGACAGAGCCTGCATGAAAAAAAAACAGTTTTCACTTTCAAACAGATGTAATTTACCTTGAATAATTGTATCTCAATCTCTAAATTTAACTTTAATCACATACAGGAGGCTCTTGCAGGGTCTAGCAAGATATTAACATAGCAGGGGATAAGAAAATCTTAATTAAACAGAACTTGCAATAAAGAAAGCTTAAATAGGGCTCTCTTTACAGGAAGTGTTTATGGAAGGCTGTGTAAGTCACATGCAGGGAGGTGTGACTAGGGTTCATAAACAAAGGGATTTAACTTCTAAATGGCAGAAGATTGAGCAGTGAGGCTGCAGGGGCATGTTCTATACACCAAAACTGCTTCATTAAGCTAAAGTTGTTCAGGTGACTATAGTGTCCCTTTAAGTGAAAGACAAGCTTCTGAAGCTCTGTCCTTAAGGGGTTAATGAGTTAACTAGGAACTGCTTTGTGTAAAGAGAAGGTGGGATCACCCATCCGGATTTCACATTGAGTATAAAGATTTATTTGGGCATAAGGCAATAAAGATTATTAGTCATTACCTATAATATTAGTCTCCGTGTTTAATCTGTCTGATTGAAAACTCACAACCAAAGAGGTTGAAATTCTTAATAAAGGCTTGTCCTTTATACCTACGACTCCACCCAACCGATTTATTTGGAACATTGAACTTTTCAAATTTGGAAGAACTCTAAGACTCAGATTTTTTTTTTTTTTTTTAATAATAATCACACTCAAAATGTTGAAACTAGCTGACTGCATTGTCCATTCAAACCTCCAAGCCAATTCGACCTGGTTGCTATTCAAACTATCATCAAAAAACTTTTTTGTCCACGGTAAAACAGGAGACAGAAGAAATCCTTCGGGTTCATAAACCAAGACATTCAAATATGTCTAAAGCCCTCTCGGATGATCTAACAATTGTCATACAACCAGCCGACAAGGGTGGAGGGATAGTTATTCTGAACTACAAGGACTATGCAAACAAATTACTAAGACAACTCCGGGATACTCAAACATACTCACTCTTGGAGCAAGATCCTACTCCATGGATTGCACAAAAAATTGAAGATACTCTAATGCTTGGCTTAAGGGCAGAGAAGCGACTTGAATATAAGTTATATACAAAACCAACTTACAGAAACACTATTCTGCATTATGAAAATGCTCACCCTAAACATCTCAAAAACTCATTGCTGCTCTCACAATTTCTTAGAGTTCTGAGAAACAACTCTGTTACCTCCCAATACACAGAACAACTGCAAATGATGTATGAAAGATTTACAGGGCTATAAGGAGAATGTCCTTGTACCAATGATCTGTTAAAAACGGAATAGAAATTTGAGG